GTTATAACATATTAGTAGTAGCTACTATTTTGCACCGATTAACCATTTAACTGGTTAACCGGTGTCGGACACAACCCGGTTGGTACACGATTGGCCAGTTAGAGAATAAACTAATTAACCGGAGTTAACGCACAGCAACTTAATAACGGTATGATTCCGGAAATAAACAATTTAGATCAACGCTGTCAAAATCGTGAAATTGCCGAAATCAGAAGAAGGCACGAGCAAAACAACAATGAAAACGTCAACCGATAACCGGGCGTTATCAAAGGGCACAGGCTGCAGTACAAACCAGGCAGAGAAAGAACGAATGCGTACAGCTAGATCCGTCAAAACTCACAATAAATACGGCAAAACGTGCTACCATACTATCCGGAACCGGTAAAAATAATGCGAGACGTTTACTCGAGTAAGCCACCATAACGGCACTGATCGCCAGCTACCGGCGCGGAAGTAGTAAAATTTGCAATCAATCGCAGATTACCAATTCATTTTGACGCTTCAAAAATCAAAACATATGCCATGCAATTATACGTGACCCGCAGTAACATCGTTATTGTTATCAGTATTTCGAAAATAAGCTCTTAGGTATCCCAGCGAACCGTAACCAATCACTATGAGCTCAGCTTTGAGCCAGTACCGTAAGCGTCATTACCGCAAAGTACTATTTCGAGAAAATAAATGAAATATTCCAATAAAGAACTTTAAAGAGGTCTGGCCAATAACGGCGAGCGTTAAAAACATGTCAGGCAATCTTGTTTAATGAAATACGAAAGCTGTTAAAACTCTGAGAAGCTCTTAGTATCAAAAATAATTAATAATCAAGTCGGAATCGGGCTTACATCAACGAAGAGCCATAGACAAATTTAACCAATTTGGTACCGGCAATAAAGCGAAAACGAAGTTTCACAATTACGCTTGCAAGCTGAAAAGCATTTAAGGAAATCAGAATCGAAAAATCTGAACCGTCACGGAAATACCTTTACATCTGATGCACCAATAACTAGCTGTTGGTCACTGCTGCCAACAAAATTATGCACCCGAAATATTATTACGGCAAATGATTGCCAGGGAACGTAATCGGTACCGGCCGGATTTCACGCGAAAGCATGTCGTATTCTAATTAACCAATGCTGAAATCGTATACATTCGACTTGCTAGGCATGTTCATTCTAGAAGCACCAGTCTGCAATCATTTGACTTTGTGGCTATCCCCGGTACGACATGGGAACTATTGCCTTTCGTGTATTCTTCCTGGCGAACTGTGGTTGCCGTCAGTACCTCACGAATCTGACGATTGTTGAAATGGAACGTAATGAGCGATAAAGGGCGCAATTATTGAACAAGCATAATAACAAAACAAAATCTGGCTCGAAACCCGTGTGCGGCACGGTAATCGTGAACCTGAAATTCATGAAGGGGCACGGCTGTATTGTTGTTATTTTGCTCGCCCGCCGCCGGCTTAAGGCAGAGGCCCGAAGAAGAACTCAATGCTGTCCGAAGGACGGCAACCTGTCACCTGTCGTTCAGTTCAATGGTAATCCCGGCAATATCACGAAGGCATTAGCCAGCCGCTGTTGGGCATTCGGCAACATGACTGCCTTGCCGGGCGGAGAAACCGTAAATGGCTGAACCGGCAAATATTGTAAGGAAATTGTGACTTGAAAGCAAACAAAATGATGCGAATCAGTACATTCGAGCAAAACCAAAAGCCACGATTGCTGCCCGGTATACGCTTATTGCTGAACATAATCATCACCATTGTCATCGGACACTACGCTTCGACGATAAACTTTCAACGGCGAACGGAAAATCTTGCTTTAGTCGAACTTCCGGAAGCTCGGTTTCCGCACTCGGTTGACTTTCTGTGAAGGAGGGATTATGAACGGGAGCGATAGGCGGTTTCAAGCATTGGTAGACGCAATCTCGTATTCGGCACTATTCACCTGTTTGTTTAAAACGTATTATCGAATTTCTTCTGAAATGTTGACAATAAAAAGTCGTCTATTTGCGGCACGAATTCGAGCCATATGCTCTGAGGAAGGACAACGCAGGAAAAATGACCGAAATGCTCGAAAGATTGAAAATATACGTGGTACGGGCTATTTTAAAAGTTTTCTATTATCCCCGTCTTCTACGTGCGTGCTTCGTTTCCTGGCGGAACGTATTGCATCGTATTATTGCGTATTGAGTTGAGATTGACCGGTTGATATTGATAATGACAAATTCGTATGAACCTATTGTGAAGAGCGTCGTTTGTTCGAAACACTGTCGTGTACCGCTGGCGTATTTTTGAAATAACTTTCACCGCGAATCGTGTTAACAATGGTGAAAGTAAATCGACAGGACTTCGACGATAATCATTGGGTATTCCGGAGCTACCATTGCGAAAGCATATAAGCACGCATAAGCGTCGGGCCGCTCATAAATCTATTGGCGCCGTTTTGCAATGCCTGACGAGAGCCAGTGACATGTTGTCTTCGGAGACGCTGCCGAAATTTAATGATAAGAATAACCGGTATCAAATGGAGCCATATCGACAAAAGCAAATAACAAAAGGAATGTGGCGAATTTTTTTCGTTTCATGTTGACACCCTACTGTTAACGGCTGCTGCATTTAGTGATCGGCTTAATTTTACGAAGCAGGCGTATTACAACGGTTGACAACCATCGTAACGTCTTCCAGCTTTCTGAAAATGTGCCGAACGAATTCGATTTTTGGCGAGGCTGCCGAAGGCTCTTCCAGATATGTATACGCGGAATCAATCATCAAAAAAATTTCAGCATTTTTAGCACGGAACACCAGGTTACCCACGAAGTATTTTCACCCACTGAACCGTCATGCGGTGCATCTGATCCGGAACGATGTTGCGTTTACTGACAGTCGGCGTAGTCCCAGCGTCTGCGAACCGTTAATGTTCGTTTTGTATGGACGCTTTCATTGAACACGCGAAAGATGCTGTGATTTCGTCGAAATAGCAAACGAAGCTACGGGCGTGACACTACTGCTCGAACTGTCTGCATATTTGAGGCATCGAATGCGAACTGCAAAATGAAGAAATTCGCAATAACATTAGTACAATTGAGGTAACGTGCTGCCAGCTTTAAGTATTAATACGAAATGAAGATGTTCAGCACCCAATGCTTAATGCATATTCAATGGTGACTTTATGAAACTTAACAGCGAACTTCGGCGTCGTTGATAGAACAGTTCCCCTTTTAGGTAACGGCAAAATATACTTATTATGAGATTGAACGGCAATCTTCGGAAGCATAGTCCATTAAGACGGGCGGTCATCATTTAGAAGTTGCGGGAACGTCGGTGTGCTGGTGAAGATTTAACTGACTTTTATTTGTGTAATTTTGATATTTGCAGCGATTTATGTTGATGCATTCGTATTCATTAATTACAACTGTCATCAACGCAAAGAGATCATATTAACCAGTATTTTGTATTAGCGCATTCACACATATGATACCAAGAACGGCGGTTTTAGATAACCCGATGAAACTTTGTTATCGTGATTTTGGCAGCGATTCGATCGCAAAATGAAGTACTGATTCGTAGTATTACGCTGCATTGTTGACGTCAGGCTGCTTCATTCATCTCGTTGAACCTTCACGTGAAACCAATTGCGATGACGAGATAGTGGCGATGGCACACAATAACGGGCGCATTAGATAAGCTTCGATGCAGGTTACGAAATAACGAAACGACTGTGCCAGGTATTTTTCGACAATTGTGCCAGTTCACGGCAGCATAATGAGCTGAATTTATGAATGCGATGGTAAATTGATGCGGACGGTCGCGAATGTTTTTCAACGGCTGCTCGATATGACGTATGTTGTCATCATCTGGTTATATAGCATTCACGGCAATTTTCTGGCTTTTATTGAATCGGCTCGTAGACTTTCAAATACAGAAGTACGTTTGATTAAACGAACGTGCCAGCGCAAAAAAATGACGATGTGAACGAGCAATTTTCGAATTCGGGAAAGCAGCTGACTGGTGAAATTACAAATCGGACCCGATTCCGTTACTGGCAATTGAAGTTGCGTCGACCGCTTCGGCTGGTACGGTGCGCTGGTGCCTAATCATTTGAAGTCGGATCGTATTATTATGTTGCGTAAAACCGGCCGCGTTCGCTTGACTGCTGGTATGAAGGTATTGAACAACGTCGAGAAGTACAGGCGGCGATGATCCTGCCAGTAGCTAGATCCTCCTGATCCTGCGGTCGACGGGGTGCCCGGTGTTCTTGGTGGCGTCCTCTGGAGCCCTGCTCTCTTGAATGCCTCTTGCTCGCTGAGCTCGCTGAGCTCGCTGAGCTGGATATGTGGCCTGATAACCTTGCCTTCCGTTCAAGTAATTCTTACTTGACTCCCAGCCTGGTTCATCGCTGGGGTCTTGCATGTCCGTCCAGAATAAGTACGTTTTTAAGCTGCCGCCAGCTCGCGCCCTTGATCCTTTAAGTCCTGGCTCGACTGTGTTTGGACACGTTAGCTTCCCCCACTCGCTGGTTTGCAAGGGGGTACTGAGCCCCGGGACCACGCCAAGGTGTACCCATCCCGGGGTAAATCGTAGTACCTACGTACCTACGTACCTACGTACCTACGTACCTACGTACCTACGTACCTACGTACCTACGTACCTACGTACCTACGTACCTACGTACCTACCTAAGTTGCTAGCTTTGGCAAACCCCTGTGTTCTTCACATTGTGGGAGTGTGTTCGGCCTGCTGCCTTGCACGCTCCACATTTAGCTGGTGCTTCACGGTTTGGGCACTCGCTGGATTTGTGCGTTTGCGCAGTGTTCGCAAATCTCTTTTTGGGTACGGCATAATTTAGTTGGAGCCCGTATCCCTGACACTTTGTGATCCTTCTGATACTAACGTAATTGCGGAATGATTTCCAGCCACAGAATACGCGTCTCAGTCGTGCCAGTTTCACGAGTTTGTCCCTCCACATTTAGGACAATGTGTCTGCTTTTATTCTTTAGTGTTATGTTAAATGTCGTTGTAATAACTGCATGTTGTTAGTGGTGGCGGATTCCAAATGCTCACTTTTACTGAGAACACAATCTGTAATTTTGAATGACAATAATAGTCAACGATTTAAAGTTAATACATTTTATTTCACTTGTTAAAAAAGAAAAAAATTACAATTTTACAAAATTAACAACAACATGCTTATAGCCTGCATGCTCTCTCATTCCACAGTATTGTAGAGCAAGCGAAACACTGTTCATGTCATTCAATGACAAGTCAGTTTTGCTAAAGCGAGATGGTAAAAAAATTCCAACTTCTTCCCATATTTCGTGTTGAGCTGTTGGAATCGTATAATCGGGTATAAGTGAAATGGATCCAGCTCCTTGATCGAAATTGAATATTTTCTCTCAGGATCGATTTCTAGATATAAGATATAAGATATTTACTATGAAATTTATATATTATTTAAATTGAAGATTTCGTTAAACCGACGAACAACTCTTTTTGGAGAATTTCTCTCGGATTCACAAAAAATGCTGTCAACTTAAACACTTCCTTTTTCGTTATGCACTATAAAGCATAAATTTTATTTTTTGGACAAATATCTATTATATACCCTGCCCAGTGAATACAATACTTTTGCTGTTCATATATTTGCTCAAGCAAAGTACGTTGCGAAAACACAAAAATAGGTCCCCGGATGTGCTAAACAAAGACAAAATTTTCAAAAATAAGTCATGATATTCGGTGTTACTGACTTGTTCTTTTGAATATACAAAAAGAAATATTTCACAGATGGTCATATATTGATTTCATATATTGCCCTTTTTCTCATTTTTACTAATATCAACTTCATAAAAAATTTCACGAGACCTGGCAACGAGACTCGACTGGTCTCGCTATCGCCGAGAAATGATAAAACACGCCCTCGTCTTCGGTATCGTCTTGCTTTTCCGAGACGAGAACGAGACGATACGGGAAAAGTCTCGGTATCGCGTGAAAAGCCCTAGGTTGTAGGAAGATTTTCTGGCAAAGTTTTTTTAATAGTATTTTTCGGCGTAAAATAATTGCGGCGCTTTGAACTACAGTAGAATCTTGATAACTCGAATGTCAAGGGAAACCAAAAAAAATTCGAGATAGCAAGTTTTCGACTTAACAAGAATTTCGAGATATAAAGAGTTAACTCATCAAATTTCGACATAAAAAGGCACAATTTTATAGAACATTTATTACGACAAATTATATTAGGTAACATAAAATGAGTCAAGTACATAATTTAAATGAATAAACTTACACTTTATGTTTTAAATAATTGATAAAAAATCTGTTATCTTCGTTTGATTCAAGCCATTTTCAGATTTTTTATCAATTATTTTTTCTAGTTCATATAGTGAACTGAATATATGATACTCAATATCATTACATCTTTCCATGTAAGTTCGTAGTGTATCAATTGCTGCTCTTGCTTCTTTATTTGACACCGATGGTTTTATATCTGCTGGATCAGTTTGATCATCGTCATTTTCATTATCGTTATCGGCGTCTCCATTTTGATTAACGAAATCAATGATTTCAGCATCAGTTAATGTGCCAGTAGTAGCTAGTCCTTCATCGCATTCCACATAATCTTCAAATTGACCTTTTATGTTCTGAAGTCTATTCCAGTCAACTTCTAAGCTCGATTCTGGCTCAAGAGGTTCTTCCGAAGGTTCTTCTTGTGTCATCGAAAATCCACAACTTCTGAAACAGTTCGATATTGTTGTCGCAGACACACTTCTCCAAGCTTTGTCTGCCATCCTTATTGCATCCAACACGTTAATACGAGAAGGTGAAGCGGAGTGTTGTTCCATGTCAATTATCAGTTTTCTGACCACTTCCTTTCGGTAAAAAGATTTAAAGTTCTTTATTATCCCTTGATCTAAAGGCTGTAACTTAGATGTTGTGTTGGGTGGAAGAAATTTAACTTTTATTGCTTTCAATGGCGGGATTATGTTGTGAGCAGTACAGTTGTCAATGAAAAGCAATATTTTTCGTTTCTCTTTCGTCATTTTCTTATCAACTTTAATGAGCCATCCTTTAAATATTTCGGCTGTCATCCAAGCTTTCTTGTTTGCATCATACTCCAATGGAAGAGTTTGAAGACCAGAAAAACAACGAGGCTTTTTAGCATTTCCTATAACCAACGGTTTAAGTTTTTCAGTGCCTGTCATATTTGTTGCTAGCAATATTGTTAATCGCTCTTTACTGTGCTTCCCACCATGGCATTTCTCGTTTTTAAAAATTAACGTTTTGTCAGGTAAACGCTTGAAAAAAAGGCCAGTCTCATCGGCATTAAATACGTCTTTTGGTTCATAATCTTTCAATAAACTCTGCAACTCAATATTCCACTCATCACATATCTCATTATTGACACTTGCACTTTCGCCGCAAACTTTTTTAAACACAAGTTCGTGACGCTTTTTAAAATTCATTAACCAGCCATTGCTGGCGCAAAAAGAATTGTGTCCCAATGATTTTGAAAATTCTTCGGCCTTTTCGCGTAATAGAGGCCCAGATACACTTATGTTTTTATCACGACACTGTTTAAACCAGGTGATTAAGCATTCCTCTATGTCGGGAAACTCGGCTAGACGTCGTCTTTTGCTTGATAAATTGCTGGTTGATTCGTATCTTAGCAATATGTCGGCTTCGTTCTTAATGATTGTAGATAAAGTGCTTGCTGGTAGTCCATACTGAGCTGCCACGTCTTTTTTCTTCATGCCACTTTTACCGCATTGATAACGGCAATCTTTTCACGTAAAGTTAAAGTCGTTAGTTTTCTTTTGGTACTCATGTTGTTGCTTGTTAACAGCCAAACAAATATGTACTGACTGAGCCAAGTAACCAAAAGTGACCAAAAATGAAGAAACATAACATCTGTGTTTCTTAGAAATTAGAAAGTTTATTGAATGTATTCATTCCTTGCACGTGTGCAAAACAAAAACAATAGATAAGAGGTCACGAGCCCCGAACATTCCTTTTGATTTTATTGCCACGAGTTTTGAGCTCCGGGAATCCCGAGTAAGAAATCATAAAATTTTATGAACTTCGACTTACTGAGGTAGATATTTGCAGTTCGAGTTACTGAGTATTAAAATGTAGGAGTAATGCCTTACAGGGAAATAACTTATTGTTCGAGTTACTGAGTCTAAAAAATTCGAGTTACTGCGTCGTTCGGGGTTCGGCGGAAGGGAATAGCATATCTTTTCGATTTACTGAGGATTATGACTTAACAAGGTTCGAGTTATCAAGATTCTACTGTATCTATGTCGGGAAACTCGGCTAGACGTCGTCGTTTGCTTGATAAATTGCTGGTTGATTCGTATCTTAGCAATATGTCGGCTTCGTTCTTAATGATTGTAGATAAAGTGCTTGCTGGTAGTCCATACTGAGCTGCCACGTCTTTTTTCTTCATGCCACTTTTAACCGCATTGATAACGGCAATCTTTTCACGTAAAATTAAAGTCGTTAGTTTTCTTTTGGTACTCATGTTGTTGCTTGTTAACAGCCAAACAAATATGTACTGACTGAGCCAAGTAACCAAAAGTGACCAAAAATGAAGAAACATAACATCTGTGTTTCTTAGAAATTAGAAAGTTTATTGAATAAATTCATTCCCCGAACCCCGAACATTCCTTTTTGATTTTATTGTCACGAGTTTTGAGCTCCGGGAATCCCGAGTTTTGAGCTCAGGGAATCTCGAGTAAGAAATCATAAAATTTTATGAACTTCGACTTACTGAGGTAGTATTTGCAGTTCGAGTTACTGAGTATTAAAATGTACGAGTAATGCCTCACAGGGAAATAACTTATTGTTCGAGTTACTGAGTCTAAAAAATTTGAGTTAGTGCGCCGTTCGGGGTTCAGCGGAAGGGAATAGCATATCTTTTCAAGTTACTGAGGATTACGACTTAACAAGGTTCGAGTTATCAAGATTCTACTGTATTTGTGATGTTATATGTATCTTTGAAATGTGTGGAATTTAGTGGGTGTGTTTGTATTGTGTTTTGTTATGGATTTGTTGTGTTTTTGTTTTATGATTTTGTTGTATATTTTGTTGTATATTTTGTTGTATATTTTGTTTATCTGTGTTTGTGTGTATCTGTTTTCTATTCCTATTTTGATTATTTTATTGTATACTGTTAAGAAAATAACTCCGCATGTGGTCTCTAATTCAAAGTCTCGACTTCTCCCCTTTTACACGGTCGTCTCTCTGCCGCATTCTCTCGTCGACTCCCCTCTGGTCTGTCGTCTCTCGCACCGCTTCAGTATCCTTCCCTTCACTCGGAGCGCTTGCGCGCAGTCCACCCGACTACGCCACAAGGCCATACTTTACATTTGGCCCTTCCTGACTAAGACGCGCCCTCGCGCTCTTCGTCTCCTGTTGCATAATCTTTTAGCCAGGCTGGTCGTCGCCGCACTCGGCTGGTGCCTGCGCGTAGAGGAGCTGGTTCGTCGCCGTCGTCGGGGTAGTCGGCGTCGCTGTGATCGACCTCGTCATTGTCGCTTGTTGACGGAGATGTTGGCCAGTCCCCCACCTCATATTCTTCTTCCTCGTACAGCTCATCCTCGTGTGGCAGATAGAGTTTCATCTGGGAGGCATGGGCGGTTGTAGTCCTAGAGTAGGGTCGCCTTGCTGATAGTCTGGCAAGCTGATACACGTCCTCGCCCAAGACTCGAGTGACCACCAATACTGCTTTGTACCTGGGGCACACCTTCGTGGGTGCGCCGGTTTGTGGTGGAACTGTCCGTACTGCAACTAAATCACCCACATTATATTTTACGCATGGGGCCCGATGTTGGTCGTAGCGTTTCTTCATAGCGGCCCTAGCAGATTCCATTCGGTTAGCAGCGGTTTGACGTGCTGAAGGAATGTTCCTCGGTGTCACAGTGCTGATTTCACGCACGATGGCAGCGTCCTCAAAATGCGTATCAAAACCATACACCACTCTGAAAGGCGTGTCCCCGGTACTCTGATTAGGAGCGTTGTTCAGATTTCTTTGAACGCGGTCTAACCGAACATCCCAGGCATCTTCGTCGGTCATCTCAGCCATGATTCCGGGAATTATGTTTCTCATTTGACGTTCCGCAAGACCGTTGGCTTGAGGATAATGAGCTGAAATTAGCTGATGCTTCACTCCAAACCGGGTGCAAAACTCTGCGAACAAATTAGAAGTAAAAGCGATACCCTGATCAGTGACTACAAACTCAGGGGAACAATATTCCATAATATAACTTTCCAGATGCCGTATCGCCTCCTCGCTGCTGGTCGATGAGCACAGGTATAAGCGCAACCAACGGCTAAACGCGTCCACGATCGCGAGTATATGTTGCGCTCCCTGCCGGCTCTTTGCGAACGGGCCAAGATGGTCCAGGTGGACCCGTTCAAACGGTTTGGCTGGTGGTACTTTGGGATGCAAATACGCTTGTTGGCGGCCTCCCGGTACCTTGGTGATGAGGCCCTGACATGCTGCCTAGTGTAGTTCCGTAGACGCTGGAACCAGAAGGTTTTTAAAATGGTGGAAACTGTGAAAGTTTCCGCTCCATTCCGTTCACTAATACCCGGCGAACTAGCCGCTCCCCATCTAGCTCGTATTGTTGTAGCGCCGCTCTATCTACATCCGCATATTTATCGACGGCCAGAAGCTTAAGTTGTTGCATTATCTCACCCAACTTCCGGTCATTTACTTGCAGAGCGGCGACGTTATCCTCCAGTCTGTGGATGCTCCATATTCCCAGCGGCCTCTGGAACACCTCGTCCTCAAGCCCTATCTGGGGCTCCTCCACGGGCGCTCGGCTCAAGCAGTCAACATGGCTCATTTGTTCTCCCTTTCTATGCTTCAGAGTGTATGAATACTCCGACAACGTGTTATGCCAGCGTGCGACCTGTGGGTGGGTAGTCCTATGGGCACTTAATTACATCAATGCCTGACAATCGGTGACCACAGTAAAAGTGATTCTTAGCAACAGATGTCGCAGCCGCTCAACGCACCACACTACTGCAAGCATTTCTAGCTTCGAAGAGTGGTATCTCGATTCTGAATCTGTGGTTCATCTTGTTGAAGCAGTATCCCGCCCACTCCCATCGCGGAAGCATCGCAGTGCAGCTCGGTCGGTTCAGTTCGGTCATATATGCGCAGCACCGGGGCCCGCTGGAGCTGATCCTTCAGTTTCTCGAAGGCGAACGCCGTCTCCTTCTTAGTCAGATCACTCAGAGGTTTGCACAGAGTAGCGTAGTCTCGGATGAAACGCCTAAAGAATCCTGTCATCCCAAGAAAACGGCGGACCTCGTGGGCATTCCGGGGCACCGGAAATTGTTGGATTGCCTCGATATTGGCTTTTCCAGGGCGCATGCCGTCAGCGCCCAACTTTTCTCTCAGCGGTCCCAGGCAAATGCTCATTAGCCTTGAGAACTCGTATGGCGCATTTGTTTCCCAAACGGCATCTTCTCAAACTCCGCCGTTTCGTCGGGCGTGATGAAAGCAGTCTTATGTTTTGCCTTTTCCGTCAGCGGCACCTGCAGGTAGCCGGACATAAGATCAAGCCCAGAGAAAATCTTACAACCTGCCAACGTGTCAAAACAGTCGTCCAGGTAAGGAATGGGAAAGTTCGTACGCTCCGTCTGATGATTGAGTCGTCGGTAGTCGACCACCAAACGCTTTTCTCCATCCGTCTTTGGCACGAGTAATACGGGGGAGGCGTAATCCGAGGTCGTTGACCGTATTAGGCCGCACGCCCGCCACTCCGCAAGGATGCCTTTAATGACTTCTCGGTCGTCCTGACTAACCCGATATGGTTTGCTCCTCACCGGCACGTTGGAGTCTCGGATGTCAACAGTCAATACCTTCGTAGTTCCCAGTTCCCTTGGGCTTTTCGCAAACACGTCCCTGCAGTTGTTTACCAACCGCACCAGACGTCGTTGCACCTCTTGGTCCGTAGTACCCACGCTTAACTCTTCGAGAGTAATTGGATCGCACTCTGTACCCATCTCGGTGGGGTTGTCCACGCCCTCCACTGGCTTCAACTCTCCCCGGATCTCTGCGACTTGGCTCCCGGGCTGCAGTTCGGAAATTGTACCGGTGGGAACTTTCAACTGACCGATTTCGTAGCCCACAAGAACCGGGTAGGCATCGTATGGTCCGTCGCGAGTTGGCTCTCCCAACGTGCGCACTGGTACCTTCCTGGGCTTCTCAATATGGGTCATGGCCAGAAACGGTTCCTGGGAGCTGTAGCCCACCCTAAGCACCGAACCAATTTTTACAAAGGCGACGTCGGGTTGATCTAAGAGCGTCCTCCCCAGCAACAGGTCAAACGGCTGGGCAGAGTCCTCTACGACGAGTAGCTGTACCTGTTCGCACACGTCATCAATGTTCACGGTGGTCTCAACCTTACCCTTAGTCGCCACAGTTTTCTGGCCAAAACCACGCAAAGAGGTTACGTGTGGCACCACCTTCAGTTGTTTCACCAACGCGGCGCTCTCTCTGATAGTGCACACAGCACTTCCCGGATCGACGTAGGCCGTCACTGTGTGGTTTCCATCTATGGAGGCTTCCTTCAGGTACTTGTCGTACTCCTCTCCCTGTAGGGCTACATGGAACTGTGCCTGGGTTCCGGGGGACTCCTGTTTAACCTCAGCGGTAACTGGAGGCAAATGGCAATACCGTGCAACGTGACCGTAGTTTCGGCAACGGAAACATAACGGCCGTCCGTCCCTGTCTCTGGCTGGGAGTCTCGCCGCGGCGGCTGGTTGGTCTTGTACTGTCGCTGGTGTCGATGTACGCCATGAGGTGCTAGTGGGAACATCTCGGGAAGACATGGTCGTTGGCATCGAGGTAGTCCGCTCCGGCGTCAAGAGCCCCTCACCTTGCCTAAAGGGCTGTCGGTGGGCCCGTCCTCGGTCAAAAGAAATCTTCTCCAATCTCAAAACGTCATGAAGTAAATCATTGACACTCGTGTATCGGTTGAGCGCTACGGCTTTGGCTGTGTCTCTAGAAAACAACCCGACCGTTATCTGTTCGCATGTCTCTCGGTGGTTGAGATCTAGTTTTCGGCATAGCGAGGCCTTCTCATATACCTAAGCGTCGGTTGCCTCGCCGCGGCGATGGACTCGAGCGATCATCTCCGCGTAGCGCTCAGTCAGGCTTTTACGCTCGCAAATCGCCTCTTCGAACTCTGTAACAAACTCGCTAAACGTGTTCATATGGGTTGCGTTCAATGCATACCAGTGTCTAGCCCCTCCTTTCAGTCGGGTGCGCGCCGTCTCCAGCATGTATGAGTCCGGGATGGCGTGGAGCGTCATGATCCTGCGCAAGGTCTCCAGCCACTCCTCCGGTTGGTCGCTTACGCCGGAGAAGGTGCGTACATTCCGCAGTACGTCTGGCATGATGATCGGCGCAGACACCTGTTGTGCTTGGCGCGCAAGGCCGGCGACGACTTCATCGTGACGCCGGTTCTCGGTGGATATCCAGTTAAGCAGTTCGCGCAAATTCAACCCTCCGCCGGTGGTGTCGTCGATGGTGATGTCCCGAGAATGTCCGGGGTTTTCGGTGGCGTCGCAATCATTAGAGCCGTGCGTAGACATGGTGTCCTCCGTGACGATCGG